CTTAATTGATTCTGCTTTATGTTTCCCAGGAATCGCCAAAAGCAGGGAAAAGTGGAAAAAGTTCAAAAGAAGGACAAGACATAATAGAATCAGAGGTAACTATTCTTAAATATTCACTTTACATTTTTTCATGAACACCTTTTAACTTAGGGTAGAAAAAATGAGGGTGAGAAAACCTAGGGTCTTCTAAAATGTTTCCCTGTATGAGATTTTTTTCTAGTGTCTTTCATAATCCTCCATTTTAGTTATTTGGGTTTGTATTATTCGCCTTTGGGGAAATATAAATGTTTTAATGAAAGTTGTGCGTATCTGTGCTGCTAGTATTTTTAAGTTCATCCCCCACCCCCCAAATCTCAAATCTAGCAGCCCTCCTGTGGAGACTGGTTTCAGGGGCTCTCTCATATTGGAGTTGTTCAAGTTCCTATTAGTTTTCCCATCCTCCCTCTTCCTTTACAAGGGGCCGGGTCTGTCTCTCAGCAGCTCAGCCTCTTTCTCCTGTCACCCTTGTTTTCCTGGATGCAGTCTCTGCTGCTCGTGCCCTGTGCTTTTCTCTGTTGATGTCTGTTCCCCTTAGCCTCTTTCCCCAACAATGTTGGTATATTTTGGCTTATCTAGTTTTGCTATTTTTGTGCAATCTTCTATCATCTTTCACATTTTTTTCTTTGTAGTGGCCAATTCTGACCACTTTTGCTTCTTGCCTTTGGGCTCATTGAGGAAACAGCTGGGATGCTCCATGAGGATTGTGTCTACCTGGTGGGATTGGGCTTTGATAGCATTTGCAGAGCCAGCACTTGGCTTTGCCTTTTCTTCCTTGTGACTAGTTGTTGAACTGGAGGACCTTGGGCTACAGGTCTAGGAGCTGCATGGACCCAGGCAGAGCTAATAGGCCCTTTTGAATCACTGGTAGCAGAGAAGCTGCTTAATTTGGTGTCATAGTTCTCCAGAGCTGGATTGTTGAAGTCCTTCGTCTTATCACAGATGACAGTAATTTACAAGTGTCAGACCCTTTCCTATAAGCCAAATTAGAGTAGAGTTCAGTTCTGTCTGGCAGATAAGACCATTATCTGCAGTAGCCTTTTTTTCTTTTTTTTTTTTAAGCCCCAGGTTATCTTTTCCTTATCATTTGGTACATTCTAAGCCTCCCTCCTCTTCAGGAGGTGGTTTATTCCAGCAAATCTGTTGCCCTCCCCAAAGCAAAAAACAGAAATCCGAAAGGTTCCTTAATTATCAATATTTTTGTGCCAGTCTTTCCCTGCCCTTTCTTTATAGCAGGCAGTCAAGCTTTACTGTGGCATTCTTGCATTTGACTTGATTACTTCCCTGTCACTCTTTTGACTAAATTGATTTAAATGAAATTTAGTTGCTGCGCAAGGGTGTATGCCTTTTCTTTTCCCTTTTTTGGTTTATTGATCTTGCATTAAAACTGCTTAGACTTCCTAGTGCTCCCCCAAACCTTTCTTGCTCACATGCCTGTCTCTCACTGTTCGTGTCACACACACAAAAATCAGCGTGTGTGTTTCATTTATTCCTGTTTTAGTGAAAAGAACCTGGCTGTAAAGATGGGAAAATGTTAAGTTTGAATCTGAAGAAAACCTCTCAGTAACTCAAAGATGCCAAAGCCAATGATAAGTAAAATGTGTGTTTAAGGTGGATTGGGTTCTTAGATGGTCAGTTGCTTAAGATTCTTGAGGTGTGGCCTGCAGTGTCTTGAGTGTGATGCCCCACTTGTCTTTTTGTATCTTTTCTAGCGCTACTGTCTAAGAGCTGGAGCTACAGAGCTTGAAATTACCACTGAAAAATACTGAAATGTTGGGCCCTTCACTACTTCCTCCTAAGGATCCCAGAGGCAACATGGCAGACTAACATGACAGTTGGCAGGTCACTGTGTATATTTCACAGGCGCACAAATTGAGGCACTTCCGTTCCTTTGAACTTGGAGTTGACCATTGCTTTTCCATTGTCTCTCTCACCTCAGTGTTCCTCTCTGTTCTTCATTTCTAGTCCCACCCCCTTACCAAGTGTGATGGACTCACGCAGGTGAATTAGACCATTACACACACTCGCTTCCTCTCCTGTCTGCTGATACTACTCTGAACTCGAATATTTTAACCGGAACCGTTCACATAGGTCTGCAGTTCCCACGCTGCTTTTCAAACCTTTCTGATGTCACGTCACCTTCACAGTCAGCGTTGGTTCAGGTTACCCTGTGGACACCCCTCTGTTAGGACAGTTAGCACATCCAGGGCTGCCCAGCCCGAAAGGTGCAGAGTAGGTGCTCATCCGGGGCAGAGAAGTAATCCCAACAGAGAAAACGTTAAAGAACTTGGCCTGTGGTTGACTTAAATAATTCACCCCTTCAAATGTGGGGAAGGTCCTTACACAGAAGTCCTGGCCGGTGATAATCTGGCCTCAAGGAAAACAAAGGAGCAGGTGGCTAACATTGCAGACCACTTTGTGGTTAGAACAGGGGGACATTTGATGGCGTGGGTTTTTAGCAAGAAGTCCTGCAGTAAAGGATAGAGTGCTTCAGCCAGGGGCTTAGTGAATAAAATGCTGACTCCTGATGGCCCTAAACGATGGCACCTAACTTCTGTGGCCCTGTTTCCTCTTCCCTAAAACGACTTGGTGAGTTTCAGGTTTGGCCATTTTTAAGTTTATGGGATAGATTAGGCGTGACCTCTCTTGAAAGTTTTCCCTGCAAGATATCTGGCAGGATATGTCTTCCCGTGTAACAGAATACCATTAAGAGTCGTAACTGCTGCTGCGCAACTTTTGTCTTTTGGTAGAAACTCCTATTCCTTGAACGATGTGTATTGGAACATCTTTCTCTGCTTTCTTTCTCTTTCCAATAGAATGTTTAATGTTTGACTTGCTTATCCATGCGTGTCCTGGGAATCTGTTTCCGCCCAGTGCATCCTGCTGGTTTATTTCATAGCACACTTTTAAGGAGTGAGGATGCAAGTGGGCTCACAGGTAACTTGACCTTGGAAAACTGTGGAGATGGACAGAGGGAACTCATCTTTGAGCAGCTGTTCTCGGTGCAACACTCAAGTCTGTAGAAACATAGCTAGGCTCATGGGATGAACACTTAGAATCCTAGTAAATTGCTCAGAGATTCCTAAAGTGCATTTTAGAGGATCAGACCACGCAGCCGTGGTTTTTGATACCGTTATTTTAATTTGTGTACTGTGTCCAAAGTTACGTTTTAAAAAGTGTTCGCGCTTTTTGTAAAGTGATTCGTTGTAAGCACATTAAAGGTCGTTGTGTGTTGTTCTCCAGTTGTGTATCTTACTTATCCTGCTTCAGCTCAGTTTTGTTTGAAAGTCTCTACAGCAACTCTTACGTAATATCTGTTGCTGAAAGGAAAGCTGAACAATCCTCCCTCCAACTTGTTAGCTTATTTTGACCCCTTCCACTTTTAGTGATAACTTTGCTTTCTCTTTATGACCTATCCGTTTACAGTCCCCTGGCCCCTTGCCCCCAGGGTTCCGGAGACAGGGAGCCAAGTCTTGCTGGGGTCTCATCGGTGTTGGAATTGTGTCTTAGAAATTTAAACTGAAATTTTAGAAATATTTACTAATTCATCTAGTAGTAACAGTAACACCCGTTACATGTTAATGGGAATAACGTTTTTATGAAAGACACCTTTCCATGAGACATTTTTTGACTCTCCAATCATGTGACTCTGTAGCAGGCGTTTTAAGCTGAGTGAGTTGGAGGAGGACGAGGAAGTGGTTGTGTTGCTGTGTGGGTTTTCTGGGGAGGCGGCCGTGACTGTCCCCTCCCGAGAAGAGAGTCCCCGACTCCTGTCCCCAAACACCAAGAGCCTCTGTCTGGAGGCTGAATTCTGAGCTCAGGCTCTCACTGGGGGCCTCCCATGCCACTTTTTCCATCGTTCTCTTCCCAACTTTTTCCAGTACAACCCTGAACTGGACTCCGGTGAAACACAGAGAGGACTCAAAGGAATAGTACTTTAAGAACTTTTGTGGTGGGACTTCCCTGGCGGTCCAGTGGTTCACTCTGCACTTCCACTGTGGGGGGTACAGGTTCGATCCTTGGTTGGGGAACTAATCCCGCATGCCATGCAGCCAAAAAAAAAAAAACTTTTTTGAAATTCTTACGTAATTATTTTATAGGAAATGGGAGTTCCCTGCTTTTAATTGCCATTCTTCCAATCAGTCCGCATCATATTTGCTTAGAGCCACGGTGTTCAGGAAGGATGGCTCTGCAGAGAGGACAGTCCGCTGCTGACTGGAAGGACTTGGGGTCCGGAGGTGCCGTGAGCTCACTGTCCTCGGGGGAGTGAGGCTTCCCTGAGCCGCCCCCTCTTTGGCGCCCACTCCTGCCCTGCGCTACAAGCTGGACGCTTGGTAGGCCCTGAGTGTCTCCCACGGGTGACACCGCTGCCCTTGAGCAGCAGCCCACCCTCAGCACCATGGCCGGGTGTTCCCTGTGGGGCCGCCCTGTGGTCCTGTGCATGTTCCCCAGCATCCTTGGTCAGCCCCACTAGATGCCAGTAGCTCCCCGTCCCCTCCAGTGGTGACAACCAAAAGTGCCTCTCGACGTTGCCCAGTGTCTCCTGGAGGGCAAAATGGCCCCGTGTTGCAACCACTGCTCTAGAAAGATCCCTCCACAGAGCATGTGCATTTGCTTGCAAATCATGCCTGGCACGTGTTCGTGAGAAGAGCAGTGCTGCTGAAACAAAAGGGACATCAAAATTCATGAGGGTCCCAAAGAGCTCTGATCTAGGTGGGCTGTAGCTTTCAGGTGTTTTTCATATTAGAAACTAAAATTGAAAATTTTTAAATATGCATTAATTCATCTAATAACACCCCCATTACATGTTAACATAAATAGAGTCTTTTTTTTTTTTGGTACGCGGGCCTCTCACTGCTGTGGCCTCTCCCGTTGCGGAGCACAGGCTCCGGACGCACAGGCCCAGCGGCCATGGCTCATGGGCCCAGCCGCTCCGCGGCATGTGGGATCCTCCCGGACCGGGGCAAGAACCCGCGTCCCCTGCATTGGCAGGCGGACTCTCAACCACTGCGCCACCAGGGAAGCCCTAGAGTCTTTTTATGAGAAAACGATTTACAAAAGTTCACGGAAAAAATGGCATTGCTCTATATTTTTGCAAATCTCTTTAATGTCTGGCTTAATAAAAGACAGCTGGCCTCTCAAGTCTGCGCCTGCATTCAGTCTGTTTTGATACCACGTCTCTGGTAGCCTGTGAAAAATCAACCTAACAATGGTTACAAAGGCAAAGCGTGTCTTGGTGTTATCATAAAAATAGTAGATCCCGGAAGGGGCCTAAGGGACCCCACTTTGAGAACTGTTGTAGAATACTTTTTCCCATCCTCTTTCTTGCTTATCTGAATCCTTTCATCTTTTTAGCTCCAACTCAAGTTCATTTTTTCTAAAATTTAAAGGAAGGTTTTTCTCACCATCTTGGAGCGTATTTTTTCCATATTTTCAGTTTGAATAGCAGTCATTTGCTGCACCAACTATTTATTATGTATAGTGCCTTGGACAGCCTTTATTTCCCTGTGAGAGAGAGAGAAAGGTTTGTTTTGAGCGTCTCTCCTGTGCAAGCACTGGTAAGATAAAGAGTATGCTATTGTCCTTACTCGTGAAGCACTGTTTTCTGTTACTTGTGAAGTGTCACATCTGTTGAGCTTGGACATTCAGGAGACTTGGGAGTAACTTCCCCCCCGCAGTCAGTCACACTTGCAGCCGCTGAATAGATGGGACAAGATGGAGCACATTCTTGTTAAGAGCCACCTGGAGCTTTGAGTGAGGAAGTCAGATGTCTGAAAGCATCTAAGCAAACACAGGATCGCCATTAAATTGTGGAGTTCCTGAGTGTGTGTTGGATGTGGCGTGTGTGTAGCAGGTAAGCTGGCAGATAAGATCAGTCAGCATCCCTGTCCGTCTTAAATAAAAGCTCCGTTACATGATGTGTAGTTCTAGAAAGAGTCCTTCAAGCGACTTACGTGAAATCATGTAAAGTGTTCCAGTTCGTGGAAGCAGCTGCGGGGGAATGCAAGCCTTGAGCCCTGCCCCACGGTGGTGGCGAGGTTTCCACCTGCGTGTGGGGAGCTGGAAGAGTCAGTCTGCACCAGCATGTCATGGGGACATTTTCCTAAGTCACAGGGAAAATTCCTCTGACAGATCGCAACTCGAGAAAGTCTTCAGTGTTTCCTTGAATGTTGGGCACCTGCCCAGGTCAGGGAGTGATGCCATCTGGTTTGGCCCAGCATTTTGGTAACAGCCTTGCGTCTTGCTGTCAGTCTGTCGTGTGGAGCGGAGACTCCCCGGGCCGTGCTTCTCCCTCAGGTTTGAGAACAGCTGATGCTGGGAAGGGCTGCTTCCCAAACTCCGGCGACAGTGTCATCTTCGTCTTCTCCACCTGGGGGAGTGAGAGAACCGGCCTAGAAATTTAACTCTCCAAGGGTGGGAGGAAGAAAATCTTTGTTAGTTGGAAGACTTTGCGTTTTCCTTTATCATAAGTGTTTTTTAAAGATGAACTTGAGCATGGCTCTAAAGGGGCGTTAGCTCCAACCTAAAGCTGGTTTTGCGCAGTGGGTACCTGGCGGCTCTGAGGTGCTGGACCTGCGCCATCCAAGAGGTTAGTTAGCCTTTAGCCACACGTGGCTGTCTAAGTTAATGAAAAATACATTAGATTGAGAAATTCAGTTCCTTGGTCACACTAGCCACATTTCAAGTGCCCAGTGGCCACACGTGGCCAATGGCTCCCCTGCTGGACAGTAGATAGGGAGCATTTCCCACTTCACAGAAAGTTCTACTGGACAGAGCTGCCTTAGACCCTAGCAGTAGCTTCCAAAATAACTAATGTGAGCGCACTGAACTTAACTTTGTTAGCTATCACTCTTCTTAATGTGAAATAGCAAATTTAAGATTAAATTTAAAAGAAGAGAAGGCAAAAGAGAAGGAAATGGGTAAAATAGGGTAAAGAAACAGGTGAGAAGGGGCTTTGGTGGTGAGGTGGGAAGGAAGCCCTGCTTACCACTTGGTCCAGGACCCGCCTACGTTCTAAAGACCCCACCGGAAACACAGAGGAGGCCCCGCCAGTCCCCACAGGAGTGGACCCAGAGAGGCCCCAGGGAGACAGCCACCTTGTCTGCTTCTCATCTTCGTCTTTTTAGACATCTATCTTTACGGCGGCCGGTGGGGGGGGGTGCGGGGGTCAGAACACACATGGTTTAAAAAAGAAAGTAGTGCGAAGTCTGTACTTTCCCATTTCACTTGATCTACTCTGAGCCCTGCATCACAGAGCAAACCTCTCTGGACTGTTCTGGTTTGCTCCGGATCGCACCGGAAGCAGTACAGTGTGGTCAGAGGGAGAGGATGGGCTCTGTAGTGGGAGGGAACGTTCTCTCTCCCAGAGTCATCTTCCTCCCTTCATCTGGCCTTTCTCCTTCTCCCTCCCTCCCTCCCTCCCTCCCTTCCTTCCTTCCTTCCTTCCTTTCTTTCTTTCCTCCCTCCCTCCCTGACTTCATTCCCTCCTTCCTTCCTTCCTTTTTTTTTTTTTTTGACACATTGCCTTATTTTATTCAAAAAACAGTCTGCTCATACATGGTCCAAGAATACCGAAATAATAAAGCAAATATAATCACATGTGAAAGATTGGTCTTCAAACATCATAGTCAATGATGCCACACATGCCTGTGATCTCTCCGGCATGAAACCACGTCCACACCTCAGTGGCCACCAAACCATTCAGCAGAGCTTCCTTAACTGTGAGCTGTTTGAAGCTACCGGTTTGAGCACCACTGACAATTTTTTTCAAGCTCTGAATAGCTGTAGGGATCTCAGCAGGGGTTGGAGGGACCAGCTCAACCTTGGCATAGTGCCAAAGTATGGCCAATTGAGGCTTCAAGTAAGTCACAGCAGTGTCGACCTGCGCTGGGGCCTTCTCCGCGAGGTTATGGACAAACTGGGCTGTGGTTCTAGGACAGAAAGTCCGTCGCCCCGACTGGCCGGTTGAATGGTCATTCTCTTTCACGTTGCAGGCTTCCCTTCAGTAGATTCACTCACTCATAGTCATCCAGCAGGTACGTTCTGAGGTCCTACTATGTGCTGAGCGCCATCGCAGGTGCTGGGGATTCAGCACGGGACACAGCAGGGCCCCTGCCCTCAAGCAGTTTGCTTTCGGTGAGTGCTGTGTGCACTTGTGTTTCCAATTTCTCCACATCCTCCCTAACACTTGTTTTCCTTTTTCTCTTTTTTTTTAAACTACAGCCACCCTAGTGGGTGTGAAGTGTTATGCCATCGTGGTTTTCATTTGCATGTTGCCTAATGGCTAAAGATCTTGAGCATCTTTTCATGTGCTTATTGGCCATTTGTGTATCTTCAGAGAAACGTCTGTTCAAGTTCTTTGCCAGGTTTTTTTTTCCCCGGATGCACTGGGTCTTTGGTGCTGCGCACGGGCTTTCTCTAGTTGTGGCAAGTGGGGGCTACACTTCGTTGCAGTGCATGGGCTTCTCATTGCAGTGGCTTCTCTTGTTGCGGAGCATGGGCTCTAGGCGCGCGGGCTTCAGTAGTTGTGGCCCGCCGGCTCTAGAGCGCAGCCTCAGTAGTTGTGGCACACAGGCTTAGTTGCTCCACGGCATGTGGGATCTTCCCGCACCAGGGCTCAAACCTGTGTACCCTGCATTGGCAGGCGGATTCTTAACCACTGTGCCACCAGGAAAGCCTCCTTTGCCAGTTTTTTAAATGGGTGTTTGTCTTTCTGCTGTTGGAGTTCTTAACGCAGGCATACCTTGTTTTATTGCACTTCACTTTGTTGTACTTTGCAGATACTGTTGTTTTTATAAATTGAAGGTTTGTGACAACCCTGTGCTGTCAGATGATGGTTGGCATTTTTTAGCAATAAAGTATTTTTAATTAAGGTGTGTACATTGTTTTAGACGTAATGCTATTGCACACTTAATAGACTACAGTATAGTGTAAACATGACTTTTATATGCCCTAGGAAACCAAACACTTCACGTAACTGCTTCATTGTGATGTTTGCCTTATTGCCGTGGTCTGGAGCAGGACCTGGAATTCCTCCAGTATCTCTGATATTGCCTGTACATTCTGGGTACTAGACCCTTATTACAAAAGTCACAGATATTTTCTCCCATTCCATGGATTGTCTTTTCACTTTCTTAATAAAAAGTGTCTTTTGTGTCTTTTTGTGTGTGTGTGTGTGTGTGTCTTTGATGCACAAAAGTTTTAAATTTGTATTAAGTCCAATTTATGTTTTTTCTTTTGTTGCTTGTGGTTCTGGCGTTATATCTAAGAACCGACTGTCAAATCCAAGGTCATGAAGATTTACCTCTGTATTCTCTTAAGAGTTTTATGGTTTTAGCTCTTAAATTTAGGTCGTGAATATGACTGGTCATTGATCTGTTTTGAGTTAATTTTTGTTTATAATTTTTGTTTATGTGTGAGGTAGGGATTCCCCCCCCCATTTCATTCTTTTGCACGTGGTTACCCAGCTGTCCCAGCGTCATTGGTTGAAGAGACTGTTCTTTTCCCACTGAGTGGTCTTGGCTCTTAATTCTGTTCCATCCATCTATCTGCATGTCTGTCCTTACGCCAGTACCACACTGCTTTGATGGAAAGGGGTGCCGCTATGGGGTTTCAGCTACTGGTTAGTGTGATACAGATAAAGCAGCCGTGGAGGGAGCGGGAGATGCGTTGAGTTCCGACTCCTCGCCTCGTTCATGTGGAATCGCCACCCGGGTGCCGCAGCCCCTTCACAGTTGGGCTTATTTCTAGTCGTTTTCCCTGCCACATCGGTGACTCGTCCCACCATCCGCCATCTGCGGGAGCCCGGGTTCCCAGAGACACCCCCCCCCCCCGCCCACGCGCCTCCACTTCCGGGTCTTGACCTCCTGTCTAGACAACCAAAAGCCTTCTTGTGGGCCCTTCGGCTTCCACACCTGAGCCTGAGGGCCTTTTAAAAAGGGAAAGCTTTTTGTGTCATCGCCCAGCCCGAACGCTCTCCATGGCTTCCAGCTCCTTCAGATAGAGGGGAGCTCCGTAGCTTGGGCGCCTGGGGCTGGGTCGGCTGCACGCGGGCTCTCAGTGCCGCGCGCGCACGCACGCACACGCACATACACACGTGCGCGCGCACCCACACGTAGAGCTCCTCCCCTTCGGGTCTTCGCACGTCCTCAGAGCAACCCTCAGACTTCGCAGGCGCCTCAGCTACGGGTCCCTGTGCGGGGGCGTCCCCTCGGGGTTGGCAGAGGGACGGAGTTACAGCCGAGGGGGCCAGGAGCGACGCCTGGGCAGCGGGGAGGGCCTCGCCAGGACCTGAGCGTGGAGAGCGGGCCGCCAGGCCCAGCCCGAGCAGGGAGGTGGTGACCACGGTTGCGGGAGTTTGGAGACAGCCCTTAAGCTAGAGGGGGTGATGGAGCCAGGTTTTCTTTGCTAGACGCTCACTCTGCCCGTGCCGTCCCGAGGAGAGCTCTCTGGAGGGAGGCCAGAGGGAGAGGCGGCAGGTGTTCGGGTAACTGTGTTGTCCCGGACGTTGGAAGCCTTACCTCAGCGTGCGCCCTGTGGTGGCTGTCGATACCCCTGGCCTCGGTCTGCTCCGTGTATTGGCCGGATCACCCAGTCCTAGTGCAAAAAGCTTCGTTCGGTAAGACGCACAGTCCATTCTCCTGTCTGGGTAGGAGCAGCGCTGTTGTTTTTGCTCATGTCTGTACCCAGCTGTTTGTCACGGTCATTATGTGCATGGCACTGGGTTCGGCATTACAGGAGAATAAAAAGGAAACGGACTTTAGTGTGCGGGACGTGTGTGTCTGTAACAACATTGGAAACGAGTACGTCTCCTAGGAGGGGCTGTTTGAGACTGTGGAGTAACCGCTAGGGCTTTCTGGGGGCATCTAGAGAAAGCTGTGCAGGATGGTTTTAACTTGGGGAATTCCGTGGAACAGGAGAGTTATGGATGGTGTTTGTAAGGAAGAAAGACCCACGCTTTCATGATTAGGTGGAAAGAACGACAGACATCGCGGTCAGAGCCCAAGAAAGCACATTTCGAGGAAGGAACTGTTGGCTGTAGGAGGAAAGGGAACCCAGGCCCTGGCTCACGGTTCAGAGTTCTGTCTGTGCGTGGCAGTATGGCTTCTTGGAAAACTCTTTCCAAATATCCTTAAGCACCTTATTAAAAAATAAAGCAGCTCTCACTTCTTAGTAAAAATCCCATTCAAGGATGAGAGCATATAGTTGGGGACTCAAGTCAGTGTGTCTCTTTGGCGCTCTGTAATCGGAAGGGGATTGGCAGGGTCGTGTTTCTAGGACGAGTTTGATGGGCTTTTTAAAAGAGCCTGTGTGCACATACAGAGTCCATCCTTGAGCAGACAGGAGAGTGTGGGAGGAGGGAGTGTGTTGCACAAAGAATCTTGACAGCGGACACTCACCTCTGTGGCTGTCAGCCGTCACTGCTGGGGCTGAGCACAGCCAAGCTCCACAGGGCTCCTGGGCAAGCTCGACCCGTTAGCCTGCACGGATGACAGGGGACCCCCGGCTCTGCTGCGTGTGCCCTCACACTCATCCACCGCCTCTGCTTGAGTGCTGGCAATGCTCCTCACCTTGCATGTCAACTGCACGTCGTGGGACAGCCTAGTTGTCACGGAGCAGGCTGGAGATGAGCACACAGAATCTGGAGCCTGGAGACGAATGCAAGGAAAGGCTAGAAACAAGGGCATTTCCTGTTGCTCAAGAGGAAAGCGCCTTTCGGTAGCCTTTACTGGTTTTTGAGGGCTGAATGTGAGCAAACAGGGAAAGCTGTCATTTATAAGGTATTCAACTATACTAGTTTCTTGTTGGTGCTGTACAAATGACCACAAGCTTAATGGCTTAAAAGAACACAAGCTCATCATCTTAGAGTTCTGGAGGTCAGAAGTCTGAAATGGGCTGAAATTAAGGTGTCAGCCTGGCCAGTCCTTTCTGGAGGCTCTAGAGGAGAATCGTTTCCTGGGCTTTTCCAGCTTCTAGAGGCCACCTGCACTCCTTGGCTCAGGGCCCCTTCCTCTGTCATCAAAGCCAGCAGCGTAGCATCTTCCATCCTCTGACCTCTGCTTTGTGGCCTCCTTGCCTTCTCTTGTCTCGCAAAGACCTGTGTGATTACGTGGGGCCCTTCCTGATGACCCAGGATCATCTGCCATCCCAGGATCCTTAACCTCATCACACCTGCCGAGTCCCTTTTGCCAAGTAAGGAAACATTCATAGGATCCAGGAATTAGGATGTGAACATCTTTGGAGGATCACTATCATCAACCTATAAGGAAGAAGTTTGAAAGAAGATATGGGAAATTAGGTGTATCTGTGAAGTCTCTTGAAATGTAGCATTGGTAGGGGTGGGATGTAGCCTCAAACTCCAGCAACTATAAGGGGTTGAGTTGTTTACAGTAGCGTGAAGGAGACTATCCCAGAGCAAAACTTGCATTTTTAAAAATTTTTATTTATTTTATTTATTTATTTATGGCTGCGTTGGGTCTTCGTTGCTGCGTGCGAGCTTTCTTTAGTTACGGCGAGCAGGGGCTGCTCTTCGTTGCGGTACTCGGGCTTCTCATTGCGGTGGCTTCTCTTGTTGCGGAGCATGGGCTCTAGGCGCGCGGGCTTTCAGTGGTTGTGGCACATGGGCTCCGTAGTCATGGCTCGTGGGCTTAGTTGCTCTGCGGCATGTGGGATCTTCCTGGACCAGGGCTGGAATCCGTGTACCCTGCATTGGCAGGCGGACTCTTAACCACTCTGCCACCAGGGAAGTCCAAAACTTGCATTTTTATGTGTATTTTTTGCCTATGCTAATTGTGCTATAAAATACAACCATTTGACGTACTCATTTGTTTTTGTTTTCATTTTGGAAACAGATTCCCAGCAGGAAAAACAGCCTTGTTGCTGCCCCGTCTGCAGTATCTAGTAAAGTAAAAGTGCCAGCCCCTCAGCCCGTAGTGAAGAAGGACAAACGGCAAAATTCTTCCAGGTTTAGCGCCAGCAACAATAGAGAACTTCAAAAACTACCATCTTTAAAAGGTAATTTTTATTATTCATCTTTCAAAAGTTAAAAGTTTCCCCATTTAGGGGGAAAGAGTAACTTTTTGATAGTTTGCTAGTTTCTTGTACCTTTGCTGTGTTTAAATTCTGTAGGGTTATTTTTTCTTTATTCAGTTTTTTTAGATTGAATGTCACTAACTTAACCAACTAATATTTCAAATTCCAGAGCCATTTAAGATAAAATTGTAATCATGAGTACATTACAGGTACAAAACACTTAAAAAAACACACACACACACGCAGAGGAAAGACTTTAAATCTTTTCCTGTTAATTGTAATTAAGCTAGCCAATTTTCTTTTAAGTAATTCTCCTCTTTCATTTGTCTTAGAGCTCCAGAAATTCAGAAAGGAGTAACTACAAGTAGAGTAATTGTAAAAACTGTGGTAGAAGCTCTTCATTATTCTGGTGTTGGGGAAGTGAGGGCTATAACGATAGTCCCCTATGGACTTGCTCCTTGTGAGTCATTTGGGGAGTACCTCTACCCAGGGTTTCCTACTTGAGACTAGTCAGGGAACAATGCTCTTTGCTTCAAACGTCCCCCCAAACAGCACAGCCACCCCTTTCCGTCTGAGGGTGTTCAATCCCTAAAAGTGCTCCTCTAGGAGATCTCGAAGTACATAAAACCTTATTGGGGAAATAGGGTAAGGACCCCAAAGTGAAATGTGAACCTCTGAACACTTTTATGTTTACTAAAATATAAGCCTAGTGTAATGAAACATCAGACAATTTTCATACCTTACATTCATAGCAGTGGGTCTTCTGCAGTCAATTTTCATCACGTATGAAATTGGAGCAGGAAGCTTGTCATCTCTACAGGTGTATTCCAGCGCCTTCCGCACTGCAGGGCAGAGAGCCAGAGCTCAGTGCAGGTGTCCGGGATTGCTGGACAGGGGGAGGGGTAGATGGAGAGAGGAAGAGGTGGAGGGATGGAGTAGTGGATAGAGGGAGGGATTTATGGATTCACGGATGCATTTCTGGCCCCTCACTTGCTAGGAATCCAGGCTCTCCTCTCGCTGCATTTTACAGAGCTTGTATCTGGCTTATATTTGGTTTAGCTTTGTAGTAGATGACATGCATATAGGTCATTTTTGAGGAGTCTCCCCTCCCAGATAGTCCATACCTTTCTGATGCTGTTCATTCATTCATCAGATACTGTGTGGAACACCTGGAAACCGGCCCTGCTCTCGGTTCGGGGGGACCAAGAGCCTGCTCTGCTGGGGCCAGCACCCTCGCCCACTGGCCTGCTGTCACCCCTCCCCAGTACCCTGAGGAGGCCCAGCTGCAACACTCAAATGTCTGGGGTGGAAAAGGCTTCCCACAGCTATTGCTGAGCCTCCAGGGTCCAGGCCCTGTCCCTAGTGCCCATCAGGGATGTGCTCTGCCAGGCAGAGCCTGTACTTACACTGTGCCCGGAAGGAGCACACCCACATATCCAGAATTTCCCACTGGTCAAGGCGTGCCCCTCACTGGCCTTGTCTGGTGCATCTCTATGCATGTTAACGTGATTTTGTCTGGCTCAGACAAGAAAGGAACTGATTGGAATTACATTAAAGGTATATTAACTGGGGGAAGATTCATGTTTTATGATACTCTTTTTCCATCTAGGAACCTGGTGCATCACCTCCATTTTTCGGGTCTTGTTTTCTGACTTTTTAGAAGGTTTTATGATTTTCTTGGGATTCTTTACCTTTGCATTAAATTTATTCCTAAGTGCTTTATAGTTTTTGTCACTCTTGTGATGGGGTTATATTTTTTTCATTTCTACTTCTAGTTAGTTCTTACCAATCTAATGACATGCTGTTGGTTTTTTAAATATTTTCTTATTCTGTCACCTTATCAAATTTTCTTATTGATCTTAGTAATTTTTTACTAGCATCTGCATATATAGTCCTGTCATTTGTAACTAGATACTTTTCTCTCTCTTCCAATATTTATACCAACACATACTGGTGGTTTTAATTTTATTATGCCGTTAGCTAGGACCAGTAACACAGAGATAACAGAGGTGAGAGCAGGCCTCCCTGTTACCTCCCATTTTGGTGAAAGGCTTCAGCATTTCCTCGTTTCATGTGAAAATGGCCCTTGGTTTCTGGTAAATCGCCTTCACCCAGCCTGCTCCTGCTCCATGGTTCACATTTGCTTGGCTCTTACCAGCACCACCCTGGCTGGTTGGTCTTGAGCTAGCACTGCTGCTGAATTTTATGAGGTGCCGTATGGTTTTTCTCCTTAAGATGTTAATTTAATAATTGCCGTGTTGATAGATTTTCTGGTTTTGAGCTATTCTTGCATTACTGAGATAAACCTCAATGTTGTCGCAGTATGTTATAACTTTTCTACGTGCTGGGTTCAGTTTATTAATTTTCGTTAAGCTGCTTTCATATCTACTGTGTGAAGCTGGGCCAGAGTTTTCTTCCTTTTTTGTACTACTGTATTTTGTCAGATCTAAAATGTGTTGATCCTGGCACTTTGTGATCTTTCCTGAGGATGGTCTGTACGTTTTTATTGCCACTCTCTCATGCTGCCATCCGATGACAGGGATTGTAAAATGCACCCGATTTTAGCAAAAACCAAATGTGGAATAACAGATGCATCTTACAGTACATGACATAGGGTGAAAAGGTTGCTTTAGAACTCAGCTGGGCCTAGTGCTTTGCTCAGTGATAAATCTGCAGATTCCTTCCACGTTAGGTCAGTTTAGAGTAGGTCACGTATTGAGTGGTACATTGTGTTCTTTAATGAATCTTTTAATTTCTTTTACCTCTGTGGTGGTGATGTCTCCTTATGAGTTCATTTATTCTTTTGATTATTTTGTTTTCAATATATTTCACTTCCACTTTTATCTTAATTACTTATCCTGTTTTGTTTTATTTTATTGTTTTCCTCATTTATTAAGTTAAATACAGAGTTCACTTAAAGCCGTGTATTCCTCTGAGTATAACTTCAGCTCTATCCATAGATTTTCTTTTCTTTTTTTTTTTCAAATCATAGCCTTTTTTTAAGAGTTTTATTGAGGCATAATTTACATACTGAAAAATTCACTAACTGTAATTGGAAATTTTGATTATTTCAATAAACATGTAGAGTTGTGCAACCATTACCACAATACAGTTTTAGAATATTTCCATCACCCATCAAAAAAATTACCTTATGCCCATTTGCCATCAATCCCCACTCCTATCCCCAGCTCCAGGCAACCACTCATCTGTTTTCTGCCTCTAAATTTGCCTTTTCTGCACGTGGCACATAAATGAAATCGGCAATATGTACTCTTTTACATTTGACTCTTAATATAATGTTTTTGAGGTTCCTCTACTTTGAGTGGTTTCTTTCTAATGCTGGATAATGTTCTCTATTATATGAATATCCTACATTTTATTTATTCAACAATTGATGGATATTTGAGTTTTTTTTTAGCTATTACGTATAACGCTGCTCTGAACATTTGAATACAAGTCTTTGTTTGAACATATATTTTCATCTTTCTTGGGGAGATACCCAGAAGGGGAACTGCTGGCTTGTGTGGTAAGTTTATGTTTAGCTTTTTTAAAAAACTGCTGAACTGTCTTCCAGACCATTTTAAGTTCCCACCAGCAATGTATGGGGTTCCGATATACCCACAGTCTTGCTAACACTTGTCATCGTCTGTCTTTTTGATTATAGTCTTTCTTATGGGTGTGTACTGGTATCTATCTTCTTATGGTTTTAATTTGCATTTCCCTACTGGCTACAGATATTAAGCATCTTTTCATGTACCTGTTAGCCATTTGTATACGTTGTGGGGTTTTTATTGGCTGTGCTGCGTGGCATGCGGGATCCAAGTTCCCCAGCCAGAGATCGAACCCGTGCCCCCTGTGGTGGAAGCGTGGAGTCTTAACCACTGGACCACCAGGAAAGTCCCTGTATATCTTTTTTGATGAAATGTCTATCAGATCTTTTGCCTATTTTTAAATTGCCTATCTTCTTATTGCTGAATTATGCCAATTCTTTATGTAATCTGGATATGAGTCCTTTATCAGGTATATTATTTACAAATATTTTCTCCCAGTTTGTGTCTTGACTTTTTACACTCTTTAATAGCGTCTTTGAAGCCCCCAAATTTTGAATTTTGATGAGGTCCAATTTATTACATTTTTCTTTTATAGATCTTGCTTTTGATGTTGTATCCAAGAACTCTTTGCCTAACTGAAGGTCACAAAGTTTTTTTTCCTGTGTTTTCTTCTAGAAGTTTTCTAGTTTTAGTTCTTATATTTAGGTCTGCGATCCATTTCAAGTTAATTTTTTGTGTAATGTGAGGTAGAAGTCTAAATTCATCTTTTTGCACATGAATATCCAGCTGTCCCAGCACCATTTGTTGCAGAAGCTGTTTTTTCATGGAGTTTCCTTGGTATCCTTATCAAAAAACAATTGACCACAAATGCAAAGTTTAATTTCTGGACTCTCAGTGTTATCACATCAATCTATGTGCCTGTTTTATGCCAGTACCACGCTATCTCATTGTGGTATCTCACTGTTGTTTCAATTTGCGCTTCTGTTATGAGGTCGGGGGCTTTTACAAATGTTTATTGGCCCTTTTCCGTTGGACTGCCATTTTCTTAATTTTTTTTTAAGAGTTTTTATTCTGGATATGAACTCTCTGTTGGTTATATATGTGTTGCAAATACTTTGTTCCACTATAGTTTGGCTTTCATTTTAGCCATTCTGGTGAGCTGGTTTCAAAGTTAACTGATGATGAGTGAAGTTAAGCATCTCTTCGTAGGTTTATCGTCTGCTCAGATATATTATTTTGTGAAGTTCTGGTTTAAGTCTTTGGGCCCTTCTTTCTACTAGGTTGTAAGATTTTATAAAAAATAGATTTGTAGGAGTTCAGATATAGGTCCTTTGTAGATATGGGAATTGCACATCTTCTTCTACTCTTGTGTCTTGAATTTTCACTCTCAAAGGTGTTAGCACTTTGAGAGTACTTTGATCTGTTTAATATATCTTTGCTTTCCACAGAGTAGTGAAGATGTTATCTTATGTCTGTTTTCCTAAAACTTTCTTTGACCTTTCGCACTGGACTGTACAGTCTATGTAGAGTTAAGTTTTGTTTCTGCTGTGATGCTAGAGGTCACAATTCCTTTCCCGTGCGGCTCTCCGTCTGGCACAGCACCCTTGTCGAAAAGGTCACCCTTCACTCACTGTGGTGTTATCTTTGTTGTGAATAAAGTACCATCACTGTGCGGACCCATTTCTGGGCTCTGTTTTGTTCCCCTGGCTGCCTGAGCCGTGTCGGGAGAACCACTGACACACCCTAGGAGGTCTTGGTATCTGGTAGTGTAAGTCCTTCAGCTTTTTCTTCAGAATTGCCTTGGCTCTTTTCATTTCTGTATAGGTTTTAGAATCAGTCATTTGTCCAAGAAGTCCTGCCTTTTAGTGGGGAATGGTATTTTAAGACCACAGTCTGGGTGCTAGGATTCTCGTTGCTATTGGAATGGTCACTGTTCACAGGACTTTTTAGTAGACCAAATTAGAAAATAGGGTTTTTTTCAGGATATAGCACATCAGGAGTTCATACTGATATTTTCCTTTCAAATGCAGGTTTGCAGGCATTTATTTAACTTCTGTCTTAAGTACCAGATAATTATTCATTTACTTTGTCCCACATTATACACAGTGTATTTTCAGAAAAATGATACCAACATTGTGACCAGTGTGACGACTGAAAGGTTAAAATTTTTGCATCTTTTCATTTCCTTCCCCCTCCGCCTTTTATATAGTTTAACTGCCTTCATTCTCAGAGCACATAGTCGTGACAAACTGTATTCTCTCCCTCCCGTCCCTGTTTACCCTTGTTCTCCATGGGAATATACAGCTGGCGCTCACCTCCAGTCTCTGTGCTGATA